AGGATTTTAAAATTTATAACTAGAAAAGGCTAAAATGTTAGGACTTAATTGAATTTATCACAGTTTGCTGCTAACTATATGCACGTAACCATTCTGGGTGCACTCGAGAAAAACCATCTTGAACGTTCAAAGAATTTATTGCAGACTTTGCATATAAATTGACAATTGTCAGTAAAGATGACCATACTGTTGTTTAAGTAATTTAATATTTTAAAGTGTTTATGCAAATTGCACAAATGAAGTTAAATACCTCCTGGTTTTCTTCTTCAATTTCTTCTTCGATTTCTTCTTCTATCGTCACCTCAGGCTTTATGAAATTATATAAACAATTTCCATAGTCCTCAAAATGTGATTCAGATTTTATATTTGATTCGTTCTGCACAATTCCATTTTCTGTTGCTAAATTTTCAATTGGTTCTGTTTTAATTATAATGTCATTATTTATTTCAGAATTCATTCCTTTTGACTTGTATTGTTTGTATATGAAATTCGTTCAGGTATTTACTTTGATAATTTACTTGTGATAATTATATATCTATTTATTAAATTTAATGCATGAGAATAGGTTTAAATCCAATTATGTTTTGACGTTTGTTCACAACTGTCAATTGCTCAACATGGCGGCGATTGTGCAGTGACGCCAATATTCGTATTTTCAGACGAAACATAGATAAATAAGTTTCATGGATCGAAACATATTAAATCATTGCTAAAGTAACTATAATGGATCGCAACTTATGAGACCATAACCATTAGGAAAAGTATACTGAAATCCATTGCATATACTACTATTCTTTTATCCTTTTATCTATGTATAAATCCATTATAGATCATAGAAATAAAGTATAAATTATATGAACAGATCGCAAACTATTCAAAGATTTATTAATGCAACTTTATCAATGATTAATAAGATAGCAAAATAACTATTAAATTCAGAGTTAACAAAAAAGAATGTGTCATAAATGAATTTTAATCCCAAGAATTTAATTTTCTCTCAATTTTTATATCAATATATGTATTTTATATTCTTAGCATTTTTTTGTTTGTGAGGTATTGTACATTATAACAAGTTATTTTAACTTTTTAAAATTTTGCTTTATTTGTCATTCCAAATTTGTTGTTCCATTATCAATACTCCTAATGCTCCTACGCTTTTCTCTTCTTAGCTTTTAATTTTTGATTATATTATTATTAGTCATTAGGAAATCATTATTAGTCAGTTTTTGTGATTTTATCACTCTATTCTAAATGTCCTACACTATTTCTGTGTAGTTTCTATACATTGTTGGTCATTAAGCAATTAATATTACTCATTTGTTGTAAATTTGTTATTGCATTGTAAATACTGTTTTTTAGTTACCTATAATTGTGAAATACTTTTTATTATGTATATAATTACAAGAAAACGGCTCGATAGATTTTCACCTACAACTAATTAGTTTCATTCCCAAATAATATCTTTCGAACAGCTTTTGATGTTGTTAAAATCGATTCTGCAGTATGAACTTAAACGTCGACGAAAAGTTTAACTTTTTTTCAAATTACAAAGAAATGGCTCGGCTGATCGCTGCACAAAACTGAAAAAAGATAATCCACATCAAAATATATCGAATGGCTTTTAAAATTTTGAAATCGATTCAGGCGTTTTTAAGCAAACGTCAATAAAAGTTATAAATTTTGACACAAATTTTTGCAAATTTTGACAATTTTTTAAAATTAAACGACTTGTCGTAGGATCGTAATACTATAGTATGATCTATAAGATCATAGATAAGTAAACATAAATAAGACTATGGTATAAGTATAAGACTATGGTATCCGCCAAAAAAAATTCATGAAAATCGTCGAAAAACTTTTCTGCGATTTACAAAGAAACGGCTCGGCCGATCGCCGCACAAAACTGAGAAACGCTAGTCCTCATCGAGATACATCGCATGGCTTTTAAATTTTTGAAATAGGTCCAACCGTTTTTGAGAAAACGTCGATTTACGGCAAAAAATGTGTTCATACATACACACACACACATACTTTTTCCAAATTTGGTCTTATTCGATTCAGAATGGCTTGAAACGTCGAGAAAACATAAAATTAGCAAATCGGATTTTGTTATGAAAACATAAACTTCTCCTTCGTGAAGTTAAATATAATGCCGCGCTCCACTGCACGAATGGTGCGTCGCAAACAAATTTGCGCAGCGGAGTGATACTGTGCGAACGCACGAATTTCCTTCAAATTTGTCCACTGCGCATGTCCATAGCGCATTTTTTTCTTTTTTTTTTGTTTGAAAATGGGAGGGGGTTTATTTTTAGAATCACGTACCCTGCCGAACATGGTCGAAGCGATCAAAAATGTAAATAAGCAAGCAGTCATTAAAATTGATGTACTAATTATAATTTTATCTATTAGTATAGGAAATACATCGTTAATTAAGTTATAGATTTGTTGAAATATATGCATACCCAACTAAAATATATTTTGATTGACTTTATTTATCATATTTTAGAGTTAATTATTATCATGTATCATCATGATAAGAGTACATACACTCTTACTACTTATATGACGTATCATATATTTATAAATAAAAATAAATTAAATGTCTCCAAAAAATAATATTGTATTATTTGCAATTACGCTAATTATCGTTTAAAATCTTGTTAATATGCAGACTGAATTTTTGTTCAAAGTCTTTTCTGAACAAGTATTTATATTTAGTACAGAACTATAGAACTAATAATTTTTATTCAAAGCTGATAACTGTTGGTCAACCTGCATTCTGTATTCGTATCCGTTATTTTTTTAAACTTGTACATAAACGTTGATCTGTATTACGGTATAAGTTCAATTGTACAGTGAAGGCATTGAGCATCTTATCCTCAATTTTGAAAATGGATATGTGTAGAGAAGATGTTATTCTTCTAACTGAACTGTATCAAGAAAAAAAAATATTATGGAATCCTAAAAATTTCAAATGTATCAAATTGCTCGCAGTGTGCGTCGTGCACAGAGCCAACACATGCGAGCGTTGCGAACAGGATTCGACACAGATTCGTGCAGTGGGGACACAGCATAACATCGGAAGCGAGAAACAAGTGGCGCGTCTTTTCAAATACTTTATGCTTTTCTATGTTTTTATTCTCTCTATTGCTATAAATGAACCCTATGCTTTAAATGTCAAATAATTAATGTAAAAGTTGAAATTATTTATCACATTAACTAAAATTTTTGATAAATCTAGACTATATAGCAGACAACTATTTTCGTAATTTTTTGTGAGTATAAGCAGTGAAAATATAAAAATGTCGGAGGAAACAATTATGACTATGAATGATCAGACAATTAAAATTGAACCACCAGAATATTCACCAGAAGACATTAAACTCGAAATGGAGGATGAATTTTATGATCCTGACGTTACTGTTAAATCTGAATCGTGTTCTGAAGATGATGATACGCGTTTAGAAAGATTTATGAATTCTGAGGTGAAAATTGAAGAAGAAGTCAAACAGGAGTTAGTCGAGACACCAACTTATGAATGTGACATTTGCAATAGATCATTTGCAGAATCAGACCATTTAAAAAAGCATATGGCCGATCATATTCCTAGTAATAGCAAAGAAAGTCCTTTCAAATGTGAAATCTGTTACAAGACTTTCAATCAATTACGTAATGTGAAAAAGCACATGCTCATTCACAGTGGTGAGCGTCCTTATGAATGCAATATATGCAATATGAAATTTACACAATCAAGTCATCTGAAAAGTCACATGCTGATGCATAGTGGAGTACGTACCCATGAATGCAATATATGCAACAAAACATTCACAAGATCAAGTAATCTGAAAAGTCACATGCTGAGACACAGTGGAGTAAGTCCTTATGAATGCAATATATGCAACAAGACATACACGCAATCAAGCAATCTGAAAAGTCACATGCTGATACATAGTGGAGTACGTCCTCATGAATGCAATAGATGCAATAAAAAATTTACACAATTAAGTCATTTGAAAAGTCACATGATGATACACAGTCCTTATGAATGCAATATATGCAACAAGACATTCACAAAATTAAATAATCTGAAAAATCACATTCTGATACACAATGGTGAGCGTCCGCATCAGTGCAATATATGCAACAAGACATTCGCAAACTCAAATAATCTGAAAAGTCACATGCTGATACACAGCGGAGTACGTCCTCATGAATGCAATATATGCAATAAGACATTCACAAAATCAAGTGGTCTGAAAACTCACATGCTGATACACAGTGGAGTACGCTCTTATGAATGCAACATGTGCAATAAGACATTCACACAATTAGGTAGTCTAAAAAGACACATGCTGACTCATAAACGAGAGCATTTCTATAAATGTGAAGAATGTAATAAGGAATTTACTCAATCATACAATTTGAAGAGACACATGGCACTTCATAGTCAGAAGCGTGGTGAAGATCAATGAAACAAGCATATTTGTTTACTTAAATTTAAATATTGTAAAAAAAATTTCCATGTAATGAAATGTATAAATAGTATGAAATATACAGTAAACACTATACTATATCGATATTATTTTATAATTTTTTATTCATATTTTAATTTTTATACATTAAGTATTATTAATCTTGGTTAGCAGTATATTATTATTCACAATTTTTTATTTGTGTATTTCTAGATAAGTTCCATAAAAATACCTCGAATAAAAAATCTGTTTATAGAAGCAGTTTATGGATTGAAACAGTTTTGGTATAGTTTGTTATTGTTTATTCGCCGTGAAATATAGGTACAATATTTATATCGTGCTGTATATCTCTCCTGGCTGCCGAATGGTAGAATAGGCCTTTTGCTTCGATGGCGGGTTCTTTTATTCAGGCCTGAGACGGCCATCTTGATGCGTGCGCATTCCCAAATGCTGCAGGCCCGTATTTAATGCAGGGCTGTACTTGGGTGTCGCCGCACAGCCCCCTACGGTGAAAAAGAAAGAAAATTATTATTCTTTGTAATTCTGAAATCGTACCTGCCGTCCTCGTCTTGTTGTATATTTTTCAGATGTGACGTGCTCTGCTGTTGTGCATTCTTCGGCAGTCGTGTATGCAGGCTTCAGTCTGTCTTTAGAAAAGGATTTTGGCTGGCCCAAAACGTCCAGTTTAAAAGTCTTGTCTCCTCTTTCCAAAACCTTGTAAGGTCCTTCATAAGGTTGCGTCAGAGTCGGCTTTATCATATCTTGCCTGATGAAAACATGACTAGACTTGTCCAGGTCTTTATGGATAAAACTCTTTTTCGGGCTATGAGATGACGTAGGCTGTGGCTTTAAATTTCTAAAGATCTTATGTAATTTATCCATGACGGTTGTAGTTGATATGCCCGTGTGATCTTTAAAGAATTGACCAGGAAGTCTCAAAGGTTCTCCATAGGTGAGTTCTGCGCTAGAATTCTTTAAGTCTTCTTTAACAGCTGAGCGAAGTCCTAATAATACCCATGGTAAAGCCTCTATCCATGAATGATCCTCATGGCACATTGGAGCTGCTTTCAATGTCCTGTGTACTGTCTCGATTAAACCATTTGATTGCGGGTGATAAGCTGATGTTTGTATCAAGTGGATTCCACATGCTTGTGCGACATTTCGAAATAGTGAGGCGTCAAACAAACTGTCTTCCTCTGTCACTCGTGACTTGTGCTGGAACTCCGAAGCGTGAGACCCAACATAAAAGAAATGCATGTGTTACCGTTTCTGATGTAATGTCCGGCATTGGATATTGAAAAATTAGGATTGATTTTGATTGCTTGCCTTATGAAGGACCAATTGTAAATACTTTGATTATAACTGTATATATTTAATTTATATTAATAACAAGTTATAAGTGTATTTACAATAATTTTAATATTGTTTTTGACAACGTTCTGATTGATTGATTGATTTGTATGATTTTTCGATAGATGATTTTTTGTTTATATATCCATATAAACCGCATGCTTTGATTGGCGCGAACAGATATGCTTCAACCCATCGAGTGTATCGGTCTATGGCAGTTAACAGATAACGATAATTTTTGCATAGAGGTAATGGACCTACAATATCAATATGTACCTGCATGAACCTTGATGTTGGCACATTGAATTCCTTAATGAGTGTTACGGTATGCCTGACTACTTCACTCCGCTGACATTTCAAACATTCTCTGGACCAAACCTTACAGTCCCGGCGGATGTTTGGCCAAACGAAGCGCTGTGTCACTAGTTTTATTGTTAGTCTAGGTCCTGGGTGACTTAAATTATGCAGGCTGTCAAAAATTTTCTTTCTTAGACTTACAGGTACGAATGGTCGTTCTCTTTCTTGAGATGTATCGCAGTATATGGAGTAGTTTGTTCCTGAAATTTTTCGTTTCTTAAGTTGTAAGGCCGTTTTCATCGATAAATATTGTTTAAGCTCCTGGTCCTCCTTTTGAGCTTTTGCTATCTCGGTAATTTCCAATTGGGAACTGATTGATTCAATTCTAGAAAACAAATCAGCCGGAATATTCTTTGTCCCGCTCACATGTCTAACATCTGTCGTGAATTGTGACATATATCCCAGTAAACCACAAAACGTAACAAAGCCATGAACGTTACGTAACGCTGGCACGTCCGCACGAACCAGGTTCGTAACCTGGGAGGCACACAGAAGCATCTATTTCGCGGGCAAGAACGTAACGGCTGTTTCGTTGCACACTAATACACCGCGGTTACATTTTTGCTACGTATCTAAATTGAATAAAAAAGCGTGTAGGTGTCTTTTATGTTACATACTTATTTAATTAAATTTCCTGCAAATATAGAATATTAATAATAATTTCGGATATTTAGTAATTTTATTAAATATTATCATTTACAATATACAAAATTTACATATTACATATTTAACATTAGAAAACTAAAATTTGACAGTCCATAAAATGTTAGCCTATAAAAATAATTATTTATTTATTCATAATATGTATTATGTTTAACTCTCTTGGCAACTTCAGTTAAATCAGACTTGGCAAAGTTAAGTCTTGCGTTAAATATGTTCAACTCACTTGCATCTGTTAATGTATCTGAAATAGAACGAAACATCTTAGTAATATTGTAAACAAATTTTTAATTGAAAATATTGTGAACAAATTAGTCATTTGTGAACATTACCTCTAAACATACTCCTTATTTGAAGTTGATGACTATGTAGTACTTACAATCATATGACAGAGATAATTATTCGATGAACACACTTAATAATTTTCTTGCATTGATTTTATCCTCTTAATTTTTAAGACGTGAATTTTCTAAAAGTAAAACATTACATATTAGTACTAAATCATATTAGTTAAAATTCTCTTCATGTAGAACCTTAATATACCAATTCTGTAACACAAGATCATCAGACTCGAAATACTCAACAATTCATGTTCTCTTCAACACTTAATCCATATAATGTGTGATATCCGGTGTATTCTTTGTTTTCCTTCTCGCATGCTTTTAAGTCTTGCTTGTTTCTTTGGTGACAATTTATCTTCTTGATTAGAGCAAATTTCCCTAGTTTGAAATCCATTTTGACATAACCCATAAGGGTTATGAGCAGTCTTTCTCTACAATTGAAAAGCAATTTATAGCAGTTTTTGCTTAACTGAATAGTTCTGATGGAATTATAAAGAATATGTATAATACCATATATATTACACTTATCTACCTATAATATTCATATCATATCACTGAATTGAGGTTATGTGATTTTTGACTGGTCTGTCAGAAATTTCAATAAATATGTGATAAATCAATTATCACAATACATAAACAGAATTTGCATTGAACACGACCTATATACTGAAAATAACTAATTAATCATTAATATAATAATTTGTAAATTTAAAAAAAAATCCGCACAATTATACTCACCTCTGGCGTTTTCGTATTAAATATATCACTTTCCTAAAAGTAAAACATTACAAATTAGTACTAAATCATATTAGTTAAAGTTCTCTTTGTGTAAAACATTAATATACCTATTCTGTAATACAAGATCATTACTTAAGAAATACTCAACAATTCATTTTCTTTTCAACACTTAATCGATATGTGTTCTTATTTATTGATATGTGTTCTTATTTTTCTTCTTGCATGTTTTGAAGCCTTGCTTGTTTTTTTGGTGACAAAGGATTAATAATTTCTAATATTTTATCTAACTTTGTATTTATCTTCTCTATTGGAGCAAATTTCCCTAGTTTGAAATCCATTTTCGTAGGGGTTATCAGCACTGTAATTTTCTCTACAATTGAAAACCAACTTATATCAGTTTGTGCTTAGATAAATAGTTCTGATACTAATGGAACTATAAAAAATGAATATGTATAAAACTATATAACTTACTTCTCTTTATTCATATATCACTGAATTGAGGTTATGTTTCTGACTGGTGTGTTAGAAATTTCAATTATTACATGACAAATCAATTATCACAATACACGAACAGACTTTGCATTGCAGGCGGCCTATATACTGCAAATGACTAAACATTATTATAATAATTTATAAATTAAAATATGTTTCAGTACAATTAGACTCACCTTATTTGCCGGTTTCATATTAAATACTTTTGCAGCTGACTGTTTAACTAATTTCTACAACTGATTTCGCACTAAATATAAAAGCAATTAATAAATAACGTTTCAATAATTGAAATATCTTGCATTTCAAACATACACGATAAAATACTCAATTCTGCGTCCACGATGCACTAACTGAGTTAACCTATAATTAATTTGACGTTTCGCTCATAAAACACTTCACGGCTATTTCAAAGGCTAATCTATGTGACAATGCAACGTACCGCGCCACGTACCGACAGAAACGCGTCGACGGTAGTTAAAGATCACAACTATACGTAACAGCATCGGTTTTTTTTACTTAACATCAGTTTCGAAACGAAAGTTACAAAATGAGTTACGTAGATTTAACTTCTGTGGTTTACTGGGTATATATGAGCTTTAAAACTTTAGCTAGAATTAAAATTAAAATCCAAATTATTTTCGATATCAAAATTTTTTTTTCAAAGTTAAAAAAAAACAAAAATTCTCCAAAAGCAATTGTTTTTTGAATCATTCAAATCTGATGCTTATAGTTACCTCAAAAACTACCTTTCTTGCACATTTAGCTCCGTATCTCCGAAACGGTTGCACCTGTCTTTTCCAAAAACTAATAATTATTTCTCCCCATCATTACGAATTGAATGCTTTTTTTAATCAATCATATCGAATACTCCGTTATCTTAAAAACTCGATTTCTATTTTCTGCACTCTTCACTTTGTATCTCCGTAACGGCTGCAACTGTTTTTTCCAAGAACTAATCACTACTTCTCCTCATAATTACAAATTGAATGCTTTTTGAATCATTCAAATCGGATGCCCTGTACTTACAAAAAATTAACTTCCATTTTCCGCATTCTTCGCTTCATATCTCCGGAACGGCTGGACCGACTTTTGCCAAAAACTAATCAGCACGTTTCCCTATCAATAGGAATCAATTACTTTTTGAATCATTAAAATCGGTTGATCCGCACGCCCGAAATCGTCGACGAAAAATTGTATCCAAACATATGCACACATCTATTTTTTCTAAGGTATGCCAAAATGTTCAGAAACCTTTAAAAGGAAACACCCCTATTATCCATATATAAATAATCATTGTTAAGTAATGAACCTTATTTAGTAACGGTTGCACACCCCTGGCATTGTAGCAGGTTGTGGATACCTTAATTTAATTAATACCTTAATTGAGGTTCTTTCGAAACAGTCGGGGTTAGTTGGATCATCGAGTACCTGGAGCCACGTGGGGGTAATATACCATGCTTTTATTTGTAACCAACTTCATGTGGATGCCGTGTTTGTTTTTAATCGACATGGTTTGTAAAGAAAAAAATGTTCGTTCATGATTCGTTCTTACTTTTGTGGACTTCAAGGAGGCAACACTTAATTGAAATAAAGAGATCCTGGCGTAGGGCAAATAGTTATTGTTGTTATTATATATGTATTGCATTATATTAATTAATATTATGTGATATTATGGTATCAATGAAAAAGTAGAACATCTAACATGTTATATCACTTAAACTGAATCAAAGATTAATAAAGTTCTGTTTGAAAGTCATAAGGACTTAATGTGTCCACATTTCTTGGGAAAACTCTGCTGCAAAGAAAAATTTACATCACTTTATTTGTAGGTACTCCTAGGTTGTAAAGAATAATACGCCCCATATGAAAAAAAAATTCTAGATAAAATACATTACTGGATCATATTGAGTTGGACCACAAAGTTGAAATAAAATATGAAGAACTGATCTTTCTCCATTTAATGGTTTGTTAATTTTTAATTACTGATTTACAGTTTTTTACAAATGGAAAAATGAATAGAGCAACAGGATTTATCTGACTATGTGAAAGACAATACATGAGGAAGCAAAACAAATGACGGAACTAGAATTATGCAGATGATCGTATACCTCTAGGCAGGTTTTCAAAAGAAAGTAGAAAGATTGGATTTGCATGCTCCTTCCAAATTATATCCACATTATATTATAATGGTCAAATGGTTGATAATTATTGAAAGATTCATTTGGGACATGAGAAACAGGCCAAATTTGTTCCAATGGACAAGAATTTACTGAGGGACATCAAAGGTATATTTATTGATCACAACATCTTGACATCATTTATTAATGCATGTACAATTTGCTTCTTTTGCTTCCATCATTTTGTAATGTTAGTAAGTTAGGTAAGTTAGTAAGTAATTAAGTAAATCAACTGGTATAATATTTGTAGAAAAAAATATAGCTGAAGTTGATGACAATGTGTTTATCAGCATAATATGTAAAGCTTCATACCATAAGACATTACCACAGAAAGCTTCGTTAATGAAGAAAGATTTGTGTAACAAAAGGTTTTGCCTTTAGGCGATGGATAAGGATATTGAAATGGTGTGAGAAGTCATTTAGCTCTCTAGGTTATGGATAAGGACATTGAAATGGTGTGAGAAGTCATTTATCTCTCTAGGTGATGGATAAGGACATTGACATGATGTGGAAGTCATTCATCAGATATTGGTAGAAGTAAAAATGATTTTGTATGAGGAAGATTTTTGGCTTCATTTAAATGCTTATTTGCTTGAGCTTTAGAAAGATGCTAAGTTATTTGTTACATATTTTAGCAAAGTTTACTGCAAATGAACAACTACTTGGGCGCATTGTTATCGGAAAAGATTAGAAATTAATACCAATATGTATTTAGAAAGTTTTCACAACCAAATGAAAAGTCAAGTTTGAAAAATTTTGGATTTGGAAAATTTTTGGCTTCATCAAAATGCTTATTTGCTTGAGCTTCAGGAAGATGCTAAATTATTTTTTACATATTTTAGCAAAGTTTACTGCAAACGAGCAGCAACTTGGACATATGGTTATCAAAAAGAATTAGGAATTTTAGGAGGCGTCCATTAATCACGTGTGCGAGTTTTTAAGGATTTTTGGACCCCCCCTCCCCCTAGGTGATACATGGTGATATTCAAAATTATTCCCCCTCCCCCACCAAACATCACATGTATTTTTAGTTACGTGATAAAACTGTAATTTTTTTAAATTTTTTTTGAAAATGATTGAATTTTTTGAAAAAATCAGTTGAAAAATTAATACACGTGATATCTTGCTATACCCCTCCCTCCCCCATATTTCGTGATTTTTTGTCAGACTCCTCCTCGCCCTAAGAACCTTTTTACAATATTTAGAAAGGTTTTACAATAAACTACTAAAAAAGTAAAATACTCTAGGTGATGATAAGGACATGAAGATGGTGTTACACCTTAACAAATATGGTTTTTGGAAAAACCAAAGATTAAATGGAACTTTACTATCAACAAGTCAAGAGATATACGAGCAAGCACACAAAATGCACAACAATGTTGTCTGATCATATTACAGAAATCTTTTCCAACACACAATGTAAAATATCACCAACAGATGATACCATTCCACCATACGTGGTTATTAAGATAAATCTTATATGCAATAGTACTTGAATAGCACATTCAATCATCTGCGTGAGCTGTTAGAAAGGGATATGAAACAAAAATATGAAGATTTCAGAAGTTTAGAGAATTTGCAAACACTTGTTGAAACTTATAAATGCAATATGTAGTTAATTGTATTTCAATTTTACTATAAATTCTATTTATAAATATTATGAATATATTATTATGAATATATAATTCTTTCAGAAGCAACCACAACATTTTTTTATAATTTGCTAATATGTACAAAATTTCACAAAAAATCTCAAACTGATTTTCAATTTTCTACAACTTTTTGAAAGATATTAATTGCAAATTGTATTGATTAGATAGTAATCAAGATCGGCCGGGCCGCATCTATATATTTTTTTGTTTAACATTAAAACATATTCTTAAAATGTTAATTTGCAGCCAAGTTGTCGAAGT